GTTTAATAATGTAGGAGCAGCCAGTTTCTTTTATATAATTTTAAGCAGCACTAATAACCTTGTCTCTCTTTCATTTTGACTTTTATGTCAAGATGTCATTAAATCCCTAAAAACGTACGATTTTTTTTTCACTTCATCCACTGTGATATAAACCATACAAGATATGATTATTAATCCTAAGACCCATTGTCAATTATTAATCAACATACGATGTCAAATCAGTTGTGACAAAAATGGTCTGATATTAAACCAGGAATAAATGCGGCGCACATTTAAAAGCACAGTATATAATTTTCACCACTAGAGGGCATGTATTCACAACAAACAAAGGCATAGTTTGATGACACTGTGTGGAATCATGGCAAAAATATACTGTGCTAAAGTATTAAAACCTTAAAATCATGTTAGAATGTAGCACTGTAAGGCCCAATGCCAATTCTATTTTTTGTACCCCTACCCTTCCCCTTCCCCTTGGCCCTTACAACCGAGGTTTAAGGGGAAGGGCTTGAAAATTTACCCCTAAGAATTGGGACAACACTACATCACCTGCACACATCATCATATGCCCTCGTGATCTGATGGTTCATGTAAGATCAGACGATCGCGACTGCTGTAGTTATTTCAGTTTTGTTTTTTATTGGTATTTATCTTCAGGAAATCACTAAAAGCATATAGTATGTTATCATAACGATCTAAAGTGGCAATAAGATGTTTGACTGTACTCTGCTTTAACTGTATTGTGTATTTACCAACCCTTGGCTCATTGGCTCAACGTAGCCCCGCGGACGTTCTGGAGACCGCAAAATATGTCCCGGGAGGTACGTATTCGAGCAGTTTTTGTTTCCGCGAATACACTAGAGGATTCTGTTTTTCATCTTACCTGATTTCTAGAACCGCTCTTCCCTGGAATCGATCCCTGTCGCCGTGGCCAGCTCCTCCTCCCTCTGGGCCTATACTCCGCTGACGTAACGCTGCGAGCTAAGCAGACAAACTGGTCGAGGCGGGAAAGCCCTCCACACAGAGGCAAGCCGTCAACCTGGTGAGCGCGAAGAGGAGGAGCGGAGCGGTGTGCGTTCGCTCGATTAAAAAAAAAATAACGCAGCCAGACTTACCTCCGGTACGGTAAAAAGCATGATGGTAAAACACGAACGCGGTTATGAATATATTAAAACACATGTTCGTTTGTCGTAAAAATTCATAATAATGACAAAAATACTTATTTGTGGATCTCATTACTTCCGGGTTCAGCAATATTGCTTTTGTGGCAGGTGTTTTCTGGGAAAATTTCTTACCCCTTGGTTTCGAGTGTGGTTTCGAAAAATCTTCTTTCGAAGGGCTATTCACCCCTTCCCCTTAGCCCTACGACTTCAAGCTAAAGAGAATTGGGACACCCCTACCCCTTGGCGTGCACGTGCAAAACGAGGGGTAGGGGTAAGGGTAAGGGCTAAGGGGTAGAATTGGGATTGGGCCTGAAGCTGAAACAAGAGCACTGAATCAATTGCTTATGAGAAACAAGCTTAATGCGTCACAAAAACAGATGAGCTTTTATAATGCCACAGTTGACCTCTTTTGGTTCTTCTGGTTGTGATCACCTGAGGAAGAAGCAGCATAGTTTTATCAATATAATTTAAGGTTCTGTTTATGATAATTTATGCAGTATAATAAAACATACAACGTATTAAAGCTTCCCATTTTAACTAATTATTCTGGTGCCATTACTGAGAGGCTAAGAAGGGTATTGCATATTGTCAGACAGATTGCTAGTCATTTTCTTTAGCAAAGTCATATTCGGTAACATTTAGAGCACACTAAATAAATTTTAAAATCCAGTGGTTGATAGGGTCGCTCTACATTTTTATTTTCTTTAAAATGTCACGTTACAAAAGTTAAATTAGTTGCAATTAACAGGAGTGTTATATACTTCATACTGTGACTACTATTATGACTTGGCACATGGGTTGTCTTTCCTCATGATATGGCAAATGCTGCCAAACACACACACATGCACACACACACATACACACACACACAGTCATTCAATGATTGCTGTAGTTTCCTCCCAAAGTACTTCTATCTAATTAGCGTTAAAGGCTCATGCAGCAAATCTGTGCGAGCTAAAACCAGAAGCCTTTAAAAATGTATCATCAAATGAGGGACAATTACAGGATCTTTGCTTCTGTGAACAAGTAAAAACACATTTCTATAGCTATTTATTCTTCAGACTTCACCTGTTGTGAAAATCCCACCATAGAATAGAACGGGATGTCCGACAGAACCAGTTTTTCTACACACCCTTTTAAAACAAGAGGTTGAAGGTCTTTCTTTGGCTGCGTGTTAGACTGTATTATGAAGTGTTTGTTTGAGTTTACACGCCTTTTGTAATGGAGTATGTGTGAATATTGGATGGCAGACGGGCACAAACAGAAGCTTAAAAATGTTCAAAAGTTCAACAGTTCAATGTAGAGCCCCACACACTCTAAGAAAAGTTTGTAAAATTAGGGCCTGGTGTACTATAAAGCTAATTTTCCATGTTGATTTTTACAGGTGTTTTCTATTTATTTTAAACCATACATGTCATTGTATTGAGTTTTAGAGTAAAGCCATAGTCACACAGCACTTTTCTCCCCTTAGACATTCATACGCATGCGAATGCGGCAGACCGGAAATGCAAGCACGTGCGACAAGTTTTGCAGTTCACTGTGTTGGAAAGTTCAAGCTTGGTGTACTCTGATCTGTGAAATCACATCATGTGGCTATGTGAGATCAAATCCAAGATCAAAACATGACCTCTGCATACAGAAATTTAAAATATAAACCAATCACTCGATTTTTAATGTTTAGTCAACTACAACAAAATCCCGCCTTTTTTCGCAGTGCCGTACAACAGAATTTTGCATACCCAAACTCTAGTCTGACTGAACGGATCAGCTCGGATTGTTAGTATCAATCAAAGTATTTATGTTGATTCAGTGATGTAATAAATTATATTATTTTATATGAATAAATAAAGATAATAACGATGTTTGTGTACTTTTTTCGTTTTTATTTTCTACGAGCACATTATATGTTGGTAGGGTTTCTCTGATCATCATTTTTGTAGTTGGTACAGCAACTATTTTTTTTGTCATCATACATACGGAAGCTCATTTCTGCCACTGAATAAAAAATTAAAACAATTATTGCAAAAATCTCAGATTTTGTTGAATTGTGTTTATGTCATGAAATTCTGACTTATTTCTCAGGATTGCATATTTACATCTTGCAATTCTGTCTTTATAGCTTGCAATTTCGAATTTACGAAGGGAAAAGTCTGAATTTTAAGACTGTTTCATGCAATTCTGAGAAAAAAGTAAAACTTCTGAGGTAAAAGTTGCAATAACTTAAAAAGAAGTATTCAGTGATCACTGGTGTCTAATCCAAACACATCGGCTTTGATTGGCTAATACATTAAAAAGCTCAACAGAAATGTGTGATTGGTTATAATGTTCAGTGTTGCAAAAAAATAAATAAAAAATGTAAACAGATCCTTAATCTGAAGCAATATGTGCACATCTGAATGTAATGCAATGACACATTATTATTTTTGAAATGTAATCATGACAGCCAGTTTTTTTTACTTATTTTGAATATTGTGGGGCATTTTTGTGTCATTAAATTGCATTTTGTTTAACAAGATCAGCTGCGAGTGAAACTCCTTATAAATTACACAGAATATATATATTTTTTGAGAAAGTAAAACTACACAGTTTCCTGTGAGGGTTGGATTTAGTGGTAGGGTGGGCTTAGGGCAATAGAAAATACAGTTTGTACAGTATAAAAACAATAGAGACCTATGTAAAGTACCCACAATTCACAAAAAATATGTGTGTGTGTGTGTGTGTGTGTGTGTAATAGAGCAGTGTTTTTCAATCATGTTCCTGAAGGACCAACACTGCATGTTTTGGATGTCTCCTTTGTCTATTACACCTATTACAGGCCTTTTGGTCTCTGCTAACGAGCTGATTTTCTGAATCAGGTGTGTTTGGTTAAGGAGACATTAGCTGCGTCCCAAATGGCACACTATACACTTTGCACTTATGCGGAACAGCATAGTATATGAATGAACAACACTGAACAGCATAGTATATGAATGTAGCGCTGTCCCAAATGGAAATTTTTTTATTAAGCGGAAATTCAAACCGTTTCCCTGATGACATTTTACGATTGCCAAATTAGTGAAAGAAATGACCAAAGCACCAAATAATACCTGCTATGAGAATAATCGCATTTACCATCGGGAGGTGGTATAATCACTCTCGTAGAAAAATTTAGTTTTCACTTTCCAAAATTAATGAAGTAATCCAACATGTTTGCCCAATAGCTTCCCCGCTTCCGCTAAGTGTACAAAACAGTGGTTGTTGAGTGCGTGAAGTGTCCAACATTCAACACTTCATATTAATGAATACTGAATTGAATACTGTAAGTGCATCGTCCACGTAATTAAAGTGCAATTATTTTTTTTCAGAGTTTTTTTTTTTTTTTTTTTGAGTGAATGCACTACTTACACTATTTATACTACAGAATGGTGTAGAATAGTGCATAAGTATGTGATTTGGGACGCACCTATAGAAAATGTGCAGAGCTGGTGGTCCTCCAGGAACATGGTTGAGAAAAACTGTAATAAAGACAGTTTCAAATTGTGATTTTTGTAGTAACATGCAAAAAAATCACAAAATAATACAAATATTAAATACAATAAGAATAAAAAGAAAGTAGTTAGTGTCAAATTTGTAAATATTGTACAAGCAGACTACTATTACCATTTCTCTGTAGTATAGACTATGCCAGTTTCAATAATATTCACCAAACAATTTTTTTTTAGACATGTAGCTAATATCGAGATAACTGCAGGTGTGGTTAAGTTAGTTCACAGATTTGTGAGTAATTCTATACCTCTCAGTTTTTGTGCGCTATCTGGGAATATTAAAAACCAAATGTTGTCTATCACTGTGTCTCCACAGCGTTTCACCAGCAGGCTGTCCACAGTCCCCTGGAGCAGCAGAAGGGCCAGCGGCAGAGTGGCCCGGTCCCCTGTCAAAACTGTGGCAAACCCTGCAAAGGAGAGGTGCTCCGGGTGCAGAACAAACACTTCCACATCAAGTGCTTTGTTTGCAAAGGTAACACATCGGTCTCTACACACACTCCATTCATACGGACTATTATTATGCGACGGTTATCAGACAGTTACATAATGGCTTTTACACTAAAGGAGTCTTGAAAGGCAACTTCCAGAACCTGAACACAAAACAGATGTGATGAAAACGTCTCAATGTTTTATTGTGCAGCATTTCATGTCAACAAACTCAGTCATTATGTCTGAATGGAAAGGGTGAGGTGCATATTTGTGTGACCGTAGAGAAAGAAAGTTTGTTAAGGTGACTTCGTTTCATCTGTTTGCGATCTGATTTCATTAAGGATTATTCAACTTAATCCAAACCCTTGGATTACTGGGGTTTCCTGTTTTGTCTGTCAGTGTACTGGTGTGTGCATGTGTGCTTATGCATGTGCTAGACCATTTCTCCCAGCACCGGCTGTTTTCAGCTTGATGATGTTGTGAACACAGATAGCGGTTGCTAGGGGATCTTGGGGTTCAGACAATGTGAGCTTCTTAATAGAGTTTAGCACGTTTATTCTTACCCCTGAGCATTAGACAGTTTGATTCCTGCACGCCATTTGTCTAATTACAGTTGCTGCTGTTGTTTTTGTTGATAAGTTTCCACTCTTGGTGCTTTTTATTTTAAATAAGTGTCATGTTTTTAGCTACTGATGAGTGGTTATAGATTTAATCCAGACTTATAAGGGCTAGTTAAAAAAGGCCAAATACATATATTTTGGACATGATGTCAAAAATGGGTCAGTAACAAGGCAAATCAAAGCCTTTTATGTATGTTTAGCTTTAGGACTTGGATTTACATGTACATTAGAAATTACATATTTGAACACAGTAGCAAACCAGGAATACATATCTAAATATAATTTATTTATTCTTTTTTTTTTTTTTGGCTCAGACTCCAAACAAACCAAGAGAACAATATAAATAAATAAAATGGTAACAAAATAATGTTTTTTACACTGTATACAGCATAATATGAATCTTTCCTAGATAACCTATGCTATGCATTTACAATGGTTTGAGGTCAGTAAGACCTTTTTTTTTCGTGAGAAATTAATACTTTATACAAATGTTATAGGCAGGGTTGGGCAAAACTACATTGAAATGCATTTTAAAATAAAATAATAAACACCTTAATTTTAGGTGTATAAAAATAAAGTACAAATAACAGCAGCCACAAAATGTACTAAAATAAAATACTGTATTTTGTATTTTAAAAATACTATAAAACACTTTTAAAAAGGAGCATGACATTTCTTTGCAAGTCTTTTATCAATTAGACCTATTCAATCAATCCCTTTTCCATTAAACTGACTCCGTGAAGTAAACAATACTTGATTTACTTTGCTATTGATAATACTTTGCTATTGGACTCTTCAGTATTCAATATAAAAACTGTATTTGGAGTTTTTGTTTATTAAATATTTGTGTTTATATGTTGTGGCATTTTAATGCTTACATCTTTTCTCTTACTAATTATACAGTAGATCTACTGATCAACTACTGGCATTTGAAACAGCCAATGAAGTATTGAAGGAATCGTCACTGTTAGACTTATTTTTATATTGTTTGTTTTAACGACAAACATGTGGCATCAGCAATCCATCCAAACTTACTAATATTTGTAGTTATACTCTTTCTTTATTAAATTCTTCTTCAAATGGAAGAGTCAGTAACACTCAAAGACTAATCAAAGGATGCATTTGATGTCTTGATGTAGACTTCTTACAAAGTATTTTACAGTATTTTAAAAATACAAAAATACAAGACACTGAAGTATTTTGACACAAAATATTCAACCATTTTCATAAACCCTAATCAAATACAAATGACAAAATACTATTTTATATTTAATATCTTAAATACTGCCCATCACTTGTTATAGAAATATTTTAACACAAAATTGACATTTATAATCTTATTAAACATTTTTAATTCTAATAATCGATGTGCATTTTCCACATACATATTACAAAGCGTTGTTGAAGCATTGAACACATTGTTATCAGTATTCAACAGATTTTATTAAAAATGTTTTTGAGCAACAAATCTGCATATTAAAATAGTTTCTGAAGGATTTCCAAATACAGAGGTTTAATTGGAAAGTAGAAATATTTCTGTTTTGCTAAATATTTTAATGGATAATGATTTTTCGTTATTACAAAAATAAAAAATAAAAAAACCAGCAGCAAAGATTTTCAATATAAAAATAACAGTTCTCCATGGCACCCTCATCTTCAAATAAGACAAATTATGTGGATCTTTCCTGTGTAAAGAGGACCTGTCATACAAAAATCAATTTTAAAAGGAGTTTAAACACAATATTGTGGCAACAGTTTGTGATTTTAATCAGCTTCATAAGGTAAAAATTCTAAACAGTCTGCAGAGGCACTTTGGTTGACATTCTCTCTCTGTACGGAGGAAAGCCCTGCCCGTTAGTGATGAACTCTCCCTCATTAGCATAGGATGTTAGTCTTGTTTTTGAATCTGCTATTATGCCAGGGGTTCTCAAACTCAGCCCTGGAGGGCTGGTGCCCTGCAGATTTTAGCTTCAACTTGCCTCAACACACCTGCATGTTTCTAGAAAGTCTAGTAAGAGCTTGATTAATAGGTGTATTGATAGATCACATGACCAGCAGGGAATGTCTGTATTCATTAACACCAAAGCCTTTTATTTACAGCCTAAATCCTGCACATACTGTATATTCTCAATCATATACCATTTTTTTGACTCACCATTATGAGTACAAAAGCCTCACTGGTTTTATGGGAGTCACTCTGGTTTTGTGGGCGGCTGTTGTTTTTACAGGAAGCATGTGTGAGTGTGTGTGTCTTTCCGACACTCAGTATGCTGTCACACCACCTTCATCTCATTTGTTATGTAAAACATCAAACAAACCAGATGCTTCATCCGAAGATGTTTTGGAGCCTTCGTATGGAGGTCTGGAGAAGGACAGAGACACGTGGGGGAACTCGCTTATCATAAAACTGCCTGTATTTGTTTCATGCACACCATGACAACATGCTAATGTTATTCTGCACAGTGGGGATTTCATTGCTCCATAAAGGCTGGACTGAGCACGCCCAACATTCATTCCAGACATGTGAGCTCAAACAGTGGAATATATTATTTAATCACAATACTCATTTGTATGCATAGACAATTACGTAGAGCAATTTATCTGAATTTTTAATAGAAAGCAAACTTATTTTTATGGGTACTGTAGATGCACTTTTAGTGCATATCTTCATATGGATTAATAATATATATACATTAAAATTTCTTCAGTACATACAACGTTCTCTTTCTTTTTGCATTGAAAAAAACATTTTTGCATAGATATCACAAATGCACATTTTTTGTACATTTTATATGCAATTATTTTGAATACCTGGAGAGAAATATCAGTTCAAAACATGCTCAAATTTGATATTATCAAAGCATTGCATATCAAATATCATTTACTTTTGACTACTTAATATATATGTTTTGTGTGTGTCTGTGTGTATGTCAGGCATGTATAAGATTTTGTTTGCATGATAAGCTTAGATAAAAATATCACGTGGTATCAGTTTCGTGGTATTGTGATTACTCCTCTGAAAAAAGTTCTTTTTAAATGTCTGGGTAAAAAAACAACAACATTTTCCCCTTTGAACACAATACATTTTATTGTAAGCAACATTTAAAATATTTTGGAACAGAAGCTTTTGATGTGGAGGGTCCTTTTCAGCTGGAGATACTGTTGTATATATATATAAACGTACATATACTGTAGTATAGTAATAACATAAAGGAACATTATAACAACATTTTGATGGTTTTAAAACCTTGACTTTTCCAAACCATGGTGCACCTTGAAAACGGTTATCATCCCATGCGTAGTGCATGTGTGTGTGCGGTATGTGTTTACTTTTTAAAACCTGTGACCTACACCCCACTGAAAACACCCTTATACAGCTGCCTTTTGTTCATCTGAATCCCCTGCTGATAGTTTTTTTAGTATTAACACACTCTGCAACTGCACACACACACACACACACACCCCATAGGAAATTCTTGAATCCTGATACTTCATTCAGGGAATATGTTGAAATGGTTTGATTCAAATTCTTAGAAAGTCTGTGATTTCCCGTAAATTTTGTGAGTGTGTGAGTGTGTGTGTGTGTGAGTGTGTGTGTGTGTGTGTGTGTGTGTGTATGTGTGTGTTTGTATGTGTGTGTGTTGAGGCAGCCCATGTTATTTCTCTTTTTTGTGTCCTGATAGCACCAGAGTTCATCTGAAACATGAAGAGTCACATATATTTAGTATGTTTGGCAAGTGATATGATTTCACACACTGCAGACATATGCTGCACTTGTATGCATGAAAATGCTCAAAAGGTTCCATGATTTGTAATTCAAAAACCTATTGATTGTGATGCAAGTTTCTTTGGTATTTAGGGACATTTCAAACTGTGAAATAGAATTTATTTTCATATCACAAATGTGCAGTGATAGGAATAACAGTGTTATAAATAATCAACATTACTACTAACATATTTACTTTTTCCAGTAACAAGTAATTGCAACCTCAGTACTGTTACTGACAATAACGTGGCGTTATATATTTGATATACTGTATCATTCATTATAATTGAACTCACTGAAATGGGAGTGGGGGATATTGGGATGTCGCCTATGATGATTGGTGTGTGTGTGTGTGTGTTTGGGGGTTGGACAATGTTACATTTCTTAAAAAAAAAAACATAATTTATTTTTAGACTTACTTGTTGGCCAGTTCTGTTCAGTGCAGTAAATATTAATATATAAACCAAGATTATTAAGTTGTAAGCCATTTATTATGTTTTATTGTTTTTGTTTATATTACATTTCATAGGTGTTTTATAATAACAATTTATTTATTATAGTGTCCATATTATAATAAACACAATAGTTACTGTTCATGATAATTAGTTACTTTTATAAGGATTTAATTCAGTTACAACCTCAAATCAGAAAAGTTGT